AAAGAAAATAAGGTTATGAAAGCGATTCCGCATTCATTTATATAAGAAAGGAAAACTTTACAGAAGATATTCGACCTAGTTTGTGAGGATAAACATTGGAGAATAAAGACAAATAAAGAGAATTATGGTAAATATAAAGAGCAAAACTTAGAAACAATTATAAGAACAGAAAGAATCCAATGATTTGTATATAACCTGAAAATAGACTCTGGAAAAAAGTGTTAAAAGATTATTAGACAGAAAATCAGGAGGGTTAAAATCTAGAATAAGACCTAAAACTAGATAGAAGGAACAAATGAAAGAGGACTTGAAATAACCAACTATACGAAAAAGGCAACCAACAGAAACAATGGTCCAGAATCCGGAAAGAAGGCTAGGGCATTGCATGGTCTGTCATTCCAGTATGATGAAAAATAAGGTAATAAGTTTACTCCACTTCTCTCTATATAAAAATACAGTAATAATTCCTAAATCTTGAGGGACAAGAAAAATAAACTTTTGCAGAATGAAAGTAGTAGCAATAAAATACATCTTCCAATAAAAAATCTATTACAAAATAGCTATAGTGTATTTTTACAGAAAATAAAAAAATGGCAAAACATATTACGAAATGGTAACAAGCGTACAGCTAAAGAAGGGATATAGTGGTCATAATTACCCATAAAGTTATTAAATTTTGTAATAAATAATTTTTGATAAATAAAAATTGTGAACATAAGTGTTTAAATTTATACATGCTTTTAAACTGTAGAAACCTTTTATTTATTTATTGTTACTCTTGAACTAATAAAATATTCACAGAAAAGAAGTTATATGTCTACAAATGATTAGGTGATGCTTCTGATGTCAACGCAGTTTTCAAAATAATGGAAAAAAAAACAATATATATATATACATATATATATATATACAGTGGAAAGTCGCGCATCCGGAATCGGCGGGACTTTCCGAAGTCCGGATAATCGATTTTTCCGTATAATAGACCCCCAAGGTAAACAGAGATTAAAATGATCTGAATCTAAGAAGCAGAAATTAAATAACATTATTTTTCGGGCAATAATGTTTTAGTATTAGAATGATATCTAATCAATCAAAAACAAAATATTTAAAAAAAAATAATTATTGCTATTATAAAAATAAATATAGGAAACTAAAAAAATTTACAGTTATGAAAATATTAATTGCTCTCTCCGCCATTTTGAACTAGAACGTTTCAAGCAAGAAGGGGAAATTCCCGTCATTCATTCATTAAGGTGGGTAGGTGAAGAAGCAAAATTCATTTCCTTCTTACTTGTCATTCAAGTTGAAGGGGGGGAAGTGACAAGTTCTTATTTTCTCTCCTGTCATTGGCTATCAATCAAGCATAAAGGCGTGGCATGCTGATTGGGTTCTCTTTATTTTTTCTTGTGTGACTAAAGGGGATTCCCCCTCCACTTTAACGTTTGCTGTGTTTACCCTTTTTCACAGTACTTCTTTCCCTAACACTTTATCAAAAAGGTTCCAGGAAATGCCTCTTTTACTAGCCAGCTGCACAGGAAAGAAGGGGGGAGGGGACTCAATTGTGCTCTTTTGAAAACAAATCTCCCCCCCCCTTTCCTGCATTCCAGAGGAGGAGCGTTACTAACGGTACGGTCTTGGTAGATCTTCTGTTCTCTTTTCTGTTGATTTATGGGTTTAATGCATAGGTCACTAGAAGCTAAGAAAGGAAAAAACATGTCAAAATACTTTTTTTTTTTAAGAGAGTGGGGAAGATGAAGAAATGTTTGTTTATTTTGATTGTTAAAAAGTGTCCCGGAATTTGACCCTTCCGGAAAAGGGACGTCCGGATATGGGACGTTACACTGCATTTAAATTAGTCATTCATAAAAAATTTGGTGCATGAAAACTGGCTTTCTAGATAGGCAGAGAAAATTATTTTGTGGTGCAGTTCCCGAAAAGTTGATATCGTAAAATCAATATATAAGGGTTACTTGGTAATTTTTTTTTTCAAAAAGAGGCATTTGGATAATTTTTCTTAAAAAATGCCACTTATAAAAATTTTAGCTGAAATTGGAATATTTCTTATACATAAAACAGCAGAGACTTTTTTGTTTTGTTTGGAACATAAAATAATTAAAAAAAAAAAAAATCCTGCATCATGTTCTACTTTTACCAGTGTTCAAACACGTAGTATTAATTATTTTTCTATATCATTATTATTATAAAAGATAAACTTATTAATATTTGTATGACAAAAATCCAGTAATTTGCAAAGCTAGTATTTTTTAAATTTAGTTCTACAGTCAGCTTTCCCACCTGTTACTAATTTCTGTAATGAAGTATCTTTACTAAAAGTGATTTGATGTGTTGCCTTAGTTCAGTTTTCTAACCTAGTTTTTTAAGTTTAGGAAAAGCTTTTCATTTGCTTGTTTTTAAAGCACAGTGTGTTTATTATGTTTTCACCAAGGTGTCTTAATTAATACGAGAATGACTAGAGTGGTGATTTTGACCACAAATCAACTTTGAGAGGCACTAAGTCCAAAAATAATTATATTAGCTTATTTGATTTTCGTGACTTTTTATAACCTTTTGAGATTTTCAAAAGCATTAAAGTAAAATTTTATTAGAATACATAATGAGCGCATAAAAAGATGATTTACCTAGAGTTACCCACTATTTGCAGTCAAAATTAGAGCTTCAGAAAATGACTATGAAATTTGGATCAAATTTCGGGCTGGCTGTGACACTTAAGACCAAATATTTTTTGAGCAGTTTGATATATCTAGGAAAAATGTCAGAATTAGATTGGTTAACATGCTGTTACATTCCTTCATAGGAAAGAAACGTCCCAACAAAAATATTAATGCATCCTAAGAACTTGTTTACTCTTTTTTGGGCAAAAGGAATTTGAATAGTTGTTACAATAAGGCTAAGTTATAGAGAAAACCCACCAATTAGTGAATTTTCAACTACCTTGCACTTTTTATTTTAAATATTTTAGTACAGGATAAAAAACAATTATTATACATCAATGTAAACTGAAAATTTTTTTTTCTGCATTTTGAGAACTATACGTAACTATGGGAAGTTTTGACAAATTTTATAATCCTAAAAATCTCCCTGAAAAAGTACATTTCTTTCAATGCGTAAGTTTTTTATAACTTGAATGTGTTTCATTAAATAAACTGATTCTAAACAATACAAATGATTTATATAATGACCAATTTTAGTTTTGTCAACTTTAATTTTGCCAATTTTCCAGAATTTTTTTGAAAGCATGTAACTTTTTACAAGTTTCTTGAAAATTCTTTATTTTCAGATTTGTCAATGAAGTGAGATTGCTACATAGAAACTACCCATTTGTCCCCTTGACTTTTTCCTATTTCATTATTTGTATTGAGATTTTTATTCAGTTATTCTTATTGATCTGCTGAATTTTATCTACGTTGTGTGATGTCAGTGGGGAAAAAATATCAACTGAAGAAAAAGTGAAATTGCTAAAGGAATAAAAAGAGGGGCACTTGGATATCCAAAAGCTTTTGTGATGAGTCAATAGTAAAATCAACTGCGAAAAACATAGAAAAAGGGAAGCTATCTAATTATTTTTCTTAATTTAACACACCTCTTGCAATGAAAGATATTGAGTATACTACGAGATATCCAGGGGTGATTGTGAGCCCAAGTCAAAATTCCGGAAAATTTCTTGAGTTAAAAAAAAAAAAAAACAGTTTAAATTGAAAAAAATTTAAACAAGTTATTTTTCCCCTTTTTCTCAATATTTCTTAGTTTACTTAAAATATATTAAAAATTTTACACATACCTATACCATTTACACATACCTATACCTGGAGAAGGAATTAAAATTTACAAATATGTCTTTCTTTCTTCAGTTTAACAACTATTTACTGATAAAAAATTTATATTAATCATGAATATAAGCTTATAAAGTATCTCTCTGGCTCACCCTTACAAACAAATAAAATAAACTGTGTTTTTAAGTTTCACCTTTGAAAATTTGATTTCCGGAAACTTCTGTGATCAATGATTTTTCGAAACGTCTAGGCCAGGGATGGCGAACCAATGGCACGCGTGCCATTTATGGCACGCCACATAATATTTTGGGCACGCCACCGATCACGAAGTTCACTCTGAAGCAATTTATCAATTAAATTAAAATTCACAGAAATAAACATAAAAAAATAAACAATTATTGACAAAAAAATTACAATTAATGCCAAAAAACAATTAGTTACCAAAAAAACAAGCTAACAATAAATAACTAGCAAAAAAAAAATTAACAGACCTGCTTAAAATAACATCTTACAACCTAATATAAGTTATTTGTCATCTAATCTGCAGCAACAGAAGTCACACTGATGTTACTTTAAGTTGAATTACGCGCAACTGAGACATTGCGAAATGTATTCTTTTTCATAGCAAATAAAGAGTTTTGAGTTGATAGTATTTAGTGTTATTATTTTCCCAATAATCACGAAGTCAAAATTGTTTGACGGCACGTCTATGACCTAATTAAACAATTTTTTAGAAAAAATGGCACGTTGGTGCATAAAGGTTCGCCACCCCTGGTCTAGACCTTCGATTTCCGGAAACTTCCAGATCACTGTTAACGAAAAATCCGGAAATCCGGATTTTTTCCGGAGCACAATCAGCCCTGGATATCGAAAGTATACTGGAACAGCAAGAAAGATATAACCTAGGTAAAGAAATGATTGAATGGTCAAGTTACAACAGCGCCATAGCGAAGAGAACCATTTACAGGATCCCTTTTAATGGCTCAAGCAAAGCTTTATATTGAACAGATGGTCATCCAAGACAAATGTAGTTTCAGAACTCATTGTTTGGGGGGAAAAAAAAGACATGAAATACATCAGTCAGCCATTTGGGGTAATTGAGCTGAAATTGATACTAAAGCAGCCGAGAATTTTATCTAAGATTTTGATATAAACAATGAAGACTTTTCATCAGAGCAAGTATATAATATCAAGTTTTAGAGTTATGTGCAAAGATAGACATTAGCTGCTACAACAGAAAAAAAAAACTCAACAAGTATATGTATTGATGATAATGGTGTGTGCAAATACTGACATAACCTACAAACATGTGTTGTTATTGGAAAAAGTGTTCAAACACACGTCCTAAAGTGTTTCCTGATATGCATCGAGCAAATTGGAAGACACGGATGATACAAAACTTGATGGAAGAAGGGTTGGAGAGTTTTATGCAGTTCTATCAGCTTGAGAAATAGAAAAGAAAGCTATTGGTAACTCTAGATAATTACAAGGCACATAGTGTCCCTCATAACAGAAAGGGTAAAACTGCTCCTGTTCTGTTCATGCCGCTAAATTGTACTTATAGCCACCAATGGATGGCAGTATTTAAGGATTCCTACAGTGGAAGTTCAAAAAAAGAATTCTTGAAGAATCTGTGAAAATTATTTGTATGAAAATTGGTGCTACACAGCATGGCTAAATATTAGGCATTCAAATACACACCCTAAAAGGTGTTAAAGTGTTTCTTGACATGCACCGAGCAAACTGGAAGACAGGGAGATGAAAAATTTGACGGAAGAATGAGTGGAGAGTAAGTTAAATATGGATAGCTGTGTTTTCCTTAAGTGGAAGTACAAAACAGAATTCTTGAAGTTGGTGTTGACAAATTTTACAAGAATTTGTGAAAAATTATTCGTATAAAAATTGGTTCTACACAGTATGCCTAAATTATGGGAAAACCGTTAAGATTGCTTGGTATAAAATTCAACAATCTTTGGTATAATATAAAGTCCAAAAAATTCATCACAGAAAGGAAATTATCTTACCAAAAAAAGAGAATAAAACAAAAAACTTTGGGAAACACTCCCATAGCATATATTGAACAACCAATGGCCCTGAAGCTTCTTAAATATATAAAATATTAAATATGAAATATAAAAATATTGCATTATTTTTTCGTTAGGTGCTAATGTGAACTTGATTGGAACCATGCTTAATAACTAATTTATGTTTTCAGAGTATCAGATTGTAAGCATTATTTACAGATTATTTCATCTGCCGTGAAATGCCATTCTGTAAAAATTTGTATAAATAACAGGAGAAAAATTTTGAAAATCTGAAAAAAAAAAAATTTCTTTAGGAAATCTTAAATGAAATCTAACTTGGTGTTACTGTCTTAATAATTTTAACAACATATTTTAAAGCCTAAATAATAGCAAAAATTTACTTTCAGGTTAATTTTTTTCCGACTTTTCTTTTTAATACACAGTTTTCTGTGATGCCCTTAAAAAAAATTTATATATATATATTGATATAAATTGTTTCTACAATCCCAATTCCAAATTTGTTTGGACTTTTTCTTACATAAAAATTTTCATAATGTGTGTGTCAGCAAAGGAATATATAATGCATACGCAAGGTAATCATATTATGTTTAAATGGAAGCAAAATAATACTTCTCGATAACACTACTCTCGATGATTCTGCATTATATTTTTTAGATTCACAACTTAGATAAGTTTTTCATCTCTGATTTATCACTTATGAACCTTTTTTTTAAAAAATCTTAACTAGTAAAAAGAGGACATAATTATTGCTTTAGAAGGAAGTTTATAGCCCATTTAACTCATACATTTTCTGACTCTGCTTTTGTTTAAAAAATAATAATGGGTACAATAGGTAATAAAAGTATCTGACTTAATTGCTCAAAACTAAGTTCTCTTTCACACAGTGAAATTTTTTTTAAAAAGACTAATTTAATGTCAAACTTTGTTAGCTAATTTCTCATCACTAAACAGCATAGTAAAATAGTTTTACTGATTAAATCAGCTAAACAGATTCTTTTGACTACTATTTTCCTAAAGGAAAGGATAAAAAAGTATAAGAGCTGGAAATCAAGAAATGTATATTTTCAACATATAAAATAAATTCAGAGGTGCCAACTTTTCAAACTAACTATCCGTAATCAGAAATACTTTAATAGCTTAATACCTATGTATATACTAACTACATTCAAATTAGCACAATTTCAAAGTGTTTTTAAATTTTATTCTATATAGGTACATACCTAATATCAATAATATTATGCATGAATTTACCATTAAATAGAAAAGTAACATTAAAGTATTACTTTTTTCAAATATTTGCTGCATACAAACTTCTACAAACAACAAAACAATTATTACAACAAAATTTCATAGCTATTAGGAGGAAAAAAACTTATTTTTAAACAGATAATTACTAAAATACCATTATTTTTAAAGCTCAACTGTATGACTGCAATCTTGACGACAAAATCCTAAATACGGATAGACTGTAATAGTTGACACCACCATAAATATGAACAAATTGTTATAGGTGTAATTCAAAATCGATAGGAGGCAGTGAGTTTTATAAAACACATCCAATTTATATAAATATGGCACAAAAAATATAAACAAATATTAAAAAAAAAAAAATACTGAAAGATATTGTACTGCAGTAAAAGCATTGAACATAAATAAAACCTTATGAAAGGCTTTGGAAATAAAATATTAAAAAAAAAACAAAAAAAAGAAAAACAACAAGTACGAAAAACATTTAAAATATCTTTGAGGAGGGAACAGAATGCCACTATTAACAGATATCACTAGTGTAATTTTACTTAAGTTTTCAAAAAAAAAAAAAAAAANTTAAAAAAAAAAAAAAAAAAACATCCTTATCTTCTTAGCGTTCTTGATATATCTTTATCTCTCTATTTTCTGAACCTTCTGAAAAGAAAAAATATTTAAAGATGAGAACAAAAAGGAAAATCTAAATTTTGTTAAAAGCAATGCACTGCACAAACGTTAGTGTTAGTATTTAGTTAAAGTAGTGAGACAAAGTCAGTTTTCCAAATTATCATTCACATTTAAATTTCAAAGTTAGTAAATAGTTGACAAGGTAAAAAGTGTTGTATAATGATTTTCACTCTAATATTAAGTTTTAATTACTTCTCAAACCACATGTTTACTATCTTTTCCCTATTTATGTTTATTTTTATATAACTACATGTACTGTCTTCACTATTTACTGTTAATTCTCATTATTTACTGTGTTCACTGCAGGAGTAATTGCTACACAAAGTGAAAAATTCCTGAAAACTGTATGTGCAATAACTCAATATCAAAGTAAAAATTTCCCAAAAACATGGGGTAAAGAGAGAGCAGCACGTGTAGAAAACACCATGCAATATGAGCTGGGCTCTTCAAACCCCACACTGCTTAAAAATAGTATCTTGCGTCCAATATTTTAGTAAAATGCAACCTTCTTTAAATTTTAAACTTGAAAAACTAAATATTTCAGAGAAAAGATGTTACAAAACATGTTCGTATTTTATTTCTGTCTATATATATTATGCAATTGTCAAATTAAAACTATAAACATATTTTTTTTCCAATTAATTCCTTTTTAGAAGTTTAAAACAATATTTGTCTCCATGTAATTTCATCAAGGCAAAAAGCTATTACGCTACTATCTCATAACAGAGAGGCTCTTAATAATTGGACCTATTACAAAAAAAAATTGAATTTTCTAGTGTAAAAAGCATAAGCAATTGATGATACAGCAACAAACACCAATTGATGTCGTAAAATGACCATAAAATGATCTTTTTAAAAAGAGAATCACATATTTTTTTTAACAATTGAAACATTTTTACTTCGTCGTCACCATGCTTTATATCCTTCTCTCTTACATTTTTGTCATTGTGATGTACCATCGGCGTCATCTGGTGGTTTCTTGTAATTTGCATATTTTTCTTGAAGATGTGTGTATTAATTCTACAGGTGAAAGTTTTACTTCAGAGTTCAGTTTTTGTATGATTCTGAATTATCCTTAACTTATAGACATGAGTGTGGTAAAGAATATAGAAAGGAGAAGTGTAGCTCTTCAGATACGTAACTAATGCAGTAAACTGCTTGGTATGGTAGCTATGTCAGAAAAACAACTCTTATAGGGCGAGCAACATACTCAGATATAACAGAGCATCATAGATACTAATATCCAGAGCATACATAAAAGATGCAAAGTGACAGTCAGGAAGTATGTCACCCGTGAACTGGCTGTTGGACAACTCTACATGTATGGTTGTGTACGCTGTTTTTCGCCAACTGCCACTTTATTCTTTCCATCTCTAACTATATGGGCAGATTTAATAAACATGGATGATATAAATGTATTCTCAAATAAACATCCTTATTAATAGTACAATACTATTAGAAAATAGTGCAAAGATGCAGAAGAAACCAATAAATAAAAAGATAAAGTTTTTCAACTCTTCTCCATCAGTGGTTGGGAGGAGAGGAGGGTGAAAAACAAATTTCAAAACTTTTGCTGTGCCCCCAAAAGCTTGCTTTTTCCTTTATACATAGGAACTGCACCAAGCCTGGGGGAACCAGTTTACATTAAGCCAACTGATGTAAGCGTTTTCCATACTATGTATATTCTTTGGCAACAAACCGAAAAACTATTACTATAAACTGACATAAACCTTAAAAAAAAATCTGCATTCCTAGCAGTATCTATCATTAAAGTGTTTTTGTCCTTTATAGTCATAAAAAACTCTCCAATTTTTCTTTATATTTATTCTTCTAACTACAGCGTGGATGTGTTCACTATCAGTTCAAATAATAGAATAAAAGCCTGGCTAGCCAAAATCTATAAAATAATTTCCCAAAGAATTTAATTTTGAATCTTGAAAATACATGACTGATCAGAGCAATTGAAAATTAACTGTAAGGAACCTATCAATCGCACAGAGACAAATAAATGTCCCCTCCTTAAATTTCACTCAAATCTAAACAAGCATTTAGTAGGAAAAGAGCACTCTCTCCATTCTTCATTGCTAAACCAGTACGGCTAAGTTCAAGCATACAGCTGCCTCAAGATCAGGTTGCACAGAAACAATAAATTTAAAAATAAAATGAATAATATGAGGCAGAGGATAAAGTTGAAATTTTTTTATTTATTGAGGCATGACACTTAATCTCTTCCCTGGAATATAAAGTAATATTAAAAATTGAAATTTTTGACGCTCACCTCAAGTATAAGGATTTTACAGATTTCGACACATTCAAGCTTTTACTGTAATTTCTAATACTATACTCATAACAAGATGATGATATAACTAGTTTCAGACTTTTTATGGTTATGAAATGTGGGTAGTTCTTACTCCCCTGTGTCTAAAATATCATTAATTTTATTCAAGAGCCCTTATTCATTAGATCATAGCTCCTAAAAAGTGAAACTGAATATTAAGCATATTGGTTACAAACCTGCATCTGGGTTCCATTCACATTCTTTCCACACTAAAAAGGGAAAAAAAAAAATTAATTTCAAAAAATAGATTCAAAATTAACAGATTTTTAAAAATTATTATACTTGGCAGTGTTGTAGAAGCTAGAAAATGTAATATTTTACTTAGAAACTGTGGTTGAAAAGATTTATTATAAAGAAGAGTAAATTTTAAATACTTGTTTAATAGTTAAAGAACTTCATGTTTATTAATATTCATAAATTTTTTTTCAATTATTTTTTAATACTGCCGCATATTCATCACATCCAATGATAGGTTTTCAAAGCTCTTTAATTTTAACAATTGCCACAGAATAACTTTTTGATTATGAGAGAGAAAGATTTTAGTATTCCCAAATGATACTTTGAAGAAACACTTAGTTTAACAAAATTTATTTGTTATAACATATATATGACAAGCAAAGCGGATACACATCCTTTGCTTTACTTAAAAGAGTATGTTTCATAGCAACTCAGATGTCAGTTTGGTAGAGTTAAGTACAGTAATTTCTAGTAGAAAGGCCGCCTTATTGTATATGCAGAGCTGATTTTCATTGTAAAGGCTGCTCCACAGCGCCTTCAGTTCTAGTAGCCATTAAGAAAAATAAAGGATTTTTTAAGCATAAAAACCCCAAATTTTGACAGAGGCACACTCATTTGATTTCTTTTCCAAGGCCCGTCGTTTATTGAGTATTTTTTTTTAGAAAGATAGGCTTCATTTCTGAAATTTTTCAGCTAAAGAGCAAACAACACACTTTTTAAACTATGCTCGGAATGACCTCTGCTTCTAGACTAAATTCTGCTGCTTACAAAGTTGATGTCTAATACTCTGTCTAACTGTCTAATTCTCTGTAAATAGACTAAAATAATGTAAGATTTTCAACAATAAAAATGATAAGTTATTTGTTCAATACATGGTAAGATGTCTTCACAACATAATCTTATAAGTTTGAAGTAGTATTTAAAATAAATATCGTTGATTAATTTTCAAACCTTTGAAATCTCATTCACTTACATGTAATTGTGACCACCTACAAATACAAAAAATCTTATTTTTTCTGAAATACCTATATCTTTCTTGTTCAACTTTTATTTTTTAAAATTGACATTTGTAGTGCTGTTTCTATATACAAAGTAAATATTTTGGTCTGTAAATGGGTTTTTTATTTGGCAAAAAAGTTAGAAAAATCCTTATTTATATCACTCCCTCATACACAGTGATTCAAAATGTTTCAATAGATGACGTTATTATTTGGGTAGAAAAAGTGCAAAAGTTCTGATAAAACTGCAGAACAAATTTCAATTGATTAGGAGAAGTTTTTCAGTGTTTAAAGAGAAACTGAATAAGTAAATTTGGTAAGTGTTAAATTGATGCCCTTATTCTACACTTTAATTTATAAATCTAATTTATTTTCTAAATATGTATTAATAAGTGTTCTAATATTCTCTTATGGGGTTGTTTAAGAATATATATTGTAATTTTATTTATAGCAATAAACTTACCTATCTTTTTTCATTTACTTTTATAAAATTAGATTAGGAAAAAAAATATTTTACTTATTCCAGTTTGTATGTGCACTTTTAAGAACAAAATTTTCCGCAACAATCATTTGTTAAGAAATACTTTTTTTAGGTATTAAGATTTCAAAAAACAGAAAAACAATAATTGATTTCAATGATGTACACATTAGAATAAAAATGTTATTATCAAGGCCAATGACAATATTGTTATCAAGACTACTGATAATATATTAAATAGTAAAAGAATACAAAATATTTAATTCTAAATTGACAAAACATTCTTTGAAAGAAACGCGCTTAAAAGCAGCAGAATTTTCTAAAGAAAGAATAAATATAGCAATAAAGAAAATGAAGGAAAAAAAAATAAGAATATGATCACCGAAGCCGACGTCTTCAGCGGGTACCGGCCTCGGAAGCCATAAAACAAAACCTTTTCTATTGAGAGAGAGGCAAAATTAAATGCCAAAAGTAACTCTCTCAGCACCCCGAAGGTTTTGTATAAGTCCAGGAAAAAATACAAGAAATACATAAAACCAATTCAGAAAGAAATTAAAACAAAAACTTGAGAAAATAAAAACTCACATTAAACCGGTCAAACAGCGATTTCACAAGCAAACTAAATGCAAAGGAAACATTAAAAACAAAAGAAAACAATGTCCTCTATTAAAATGCGCAGATTGAAAAAGAGAGAAATAAAAGAGAAGATTATGTAACAAATTAATTTAATGCTGCTCAGTTAAGACTTGAATTGCGCCCTGTTAAAAGAAATAAAAAACTAGTATTCTTTAATCATTTTCTGAATCAAAAAATTAACATTACAAAAGTTAAAAGGAAAATCATTATTACTTAAATTATTCGCAGCCTCCTGAAAACTTTCAACGTTATTGCAAATATTTTTAATCCTAACCAATTGTGAAAAAACTAAATTTTTAAAAATTTTATTACACAGATTAGTATTAAAGTTGCAGAAAAAAATAACTTTAAATTTAAAAGCTTTCCCTTTATCAGAAACACCAATTTTGATTATTTTATCAACAATATCAATTTTAAAATCTAAATATTCAACATTTAAGCAATTCTCATTAGTTTTTTTCAAAACCAAATCTTTAGGATAAATACTACAAATAAAATTAAAATTATCACAATGAAACAAAATCAAATCATCACTATATCTAAAAGCTTTAAATTCATTATACTCAAGAAATTTAGCTTCAAAAAAATATTAGCAAAAGCACCAGAAAAGGAATTACCTTGTGGAATTACTTTTTACTAATTTCAGAATTGTAACAATTAGTACCACACGCAATAAACCTAAATTTAACTGGACTTTTATGAAATTTAACAATAGGAAATAAATTTGGAAATGTAATCCTATTTAACCTAAATTTTAATATTTTACTAAATGCAATAATTCTTTTTTCAATAAATTTCTTATTTTCTTTTAATTTTAACCCTTTGCTTGCGGCTGGTACAGCATATGTACCGGTAGAAAAAACTCCTCTTATTGCGGTGCTGGATCAGCATTTGTACCAGTGGTTCTCTTCTCCCTTTTCTCCTAGACTGCCATCCCACCTGTCATTTCTTCAAGAACCCCAATTTTAGCCTATTGTTAAAAAAGAGATTTAACGCTGCTTGCTTTGGATTTAAATTGGCTGAAAGATTTTTCTCTTTTATTATTAGTTGGCGAGTTTTAACGAATGAGAATGTCTTTCTTTTTCGTTGTAGTACTAACTCCATTTCATTCGAGATCTTTTTAGCGACGATATTTAGCGAATTCTAATTTTTTTTTCGATTAATTTATTTGTTTGTTACGCTTTCATTTTTTTTGTTGATCTTTTGATAATGTTTTAATTAAATTTTTAGAATTTTTTTTTAATTTGTTGCTTCCGTTTGGTATTGAATTATTCTTTTTTCATTGAAAGAATTTTTCACAATTCAAAATGCCATGTAAAGTGAGACCACTCACTCAAGAAGAAATCGATGAATGATTTCGATGTTGAAACCAGATCACCGAAGTCAAGCTGGCTACGGTCTGTGTGCGGGTGGGTGACCACTTGGATCAGTCTGCGTAGGGACTGAGGGTGTGCGGTATGGGTGCTCGTTAAACTGTTCAAAGTGCTCGACTTCGCGTGCAGGTCGTCGGGCTACCGAAGCGGGGTTGCCATCCCCTCTGCAAAGGATCAAAATTGTGATGGCATGTCTTCTGATCATCCTCAGGGGTATTTCCCAGACCGTCGCCAATAGCCCATTGTGCAGCTCTAGTGCGATGTAAATGAACTACAACATCGATGTTGAAACCTAAGCGGATTCTGAATCTGATTGTAAGGAGGAAGAAGAAAAGAATGAAGTGCAAGAAATTGATAGTGATGATGAATTTTTAATATCTTTAAATACTCAGCTGATATCAAATGTGTCACTTCAAAGTTTCAAAAATAAAGTTTATTAAAAAGGTACCGCTTTCAGATTACAAATTCAGATGATCATATACAATCGAAACCAGCCTGAAAATTCTACGCATCAATTAGAAAAAAAGATGTACAAATTATGCATTTAGATAAGCAGAATTTTTCAGAAGTTCTATAAATATTTACTCTCTCTTTATATTTATACTCAGTTTTTTAATTTTATAAAAACAGTTGTTTAAAAATCATGGAAAAAGTTGAAATTTGTTTTAGGGGAAATTTCACATTACATAATTTACCCTTCTGTGTCTGGTATCGTAAAATAAATAAATAAATCACCGAATGAAAATATCGAATACCAACGGATAAGACATTGCTCGAGAAATAAAATGATTAAATTTTAACTAAATAATTTAAAGTAAAATCGTTAATTATTACGTATGTCATCGGTAAAATATTTGGTGTTGTGAGCTAAAAATTACTTTATAGTATTGAAAAATTCCATAGTTTGATATTTCAAAATATTTCTTAATATTTAATACGTTTGTTTTAAAAATTTAGTAATATTATTAAAAAGCTATAAATATCATAATTTTAACTTCATTTTTCTAAAAATTTTAAGGTCTGAAATAATTTATGCTGCCCCCTTCTAAAATAGTTATCTTCTAAGATTTTAAATTATGTTAATATTAAAAAAGCAAAATATTATATTTATATTACTAAAACAGAATATTGTTCTTTTTTTTACTACGAGTAATAAGCAGTTTCATAGCGTTGAAGGGAAAATCTAATTCAATGTTCCAAACTCTAAATCTAATGTGCACAAAAAGATGAAAACATACGTAAATTTCTTCACTGGTAATTATATTGAACCGAACTTTTGAAATGTTGAAAAAATTTTTTTTTCTTAAAAAATAGCATTTATATTATTAATTTATTCCAAAGAAAAAGTAGAAAAATGCTGTTGAAAGCTGAACATTTTTTAAAAATATTTGTGAAAAGAGGAGCGAGTATCTATCGAATGGTTTAGAATGCTTGACCATGGTCAGGAAGTTTATTTACAATGAAAAAATTTCTACTTTTCAAACATT